CAACAATAATAATCATCTAATGGTTAAATATTGTTTCATAATGCAGAAAGGAGCACATTAAGTTGGCATGAGTAGTCTTAATTCAGCTATTCAGCCCCAGAACAGCTCCACAGTGGCTGGAAGCAGTGTTTGTACCACAACCCCTGGGGAGGTGGGAAAGGGAAGGGCAACCAGAGAGAAGCAGTGTTACAGGCACAGCTTTCCATGCCCTCATTCTCCATGCTCAGCCCAGTGTAGGCATGGGCACAGGCAAAGTCCTGTGGGCCCGCTCCAGCCCACATGTTGTCAACCCTTGGTCTATGACTACGTGATATTGTCAATTCCTAGGATTCTGAAGAATGTTAAAGGTGCCATAAGCCAATGGCTTCAGTCAGTTTGGAAAATACTTGGCATTACATAGCTATTCCTTAATGTTACTAAGGCTTTTTTAGAATGAATGAACTTTATGCAAATTAAAACTATTTAGCACATACTTGCCACTGTGCAAGTTCAAATAGCTGCTCAAGCTTTAACTAAAGCAAGCTGTCTAAACATTATCTAATACATATTATCCCTATTTTACTGATGCAAAAATGGAAGCAGAGAGCTGAAGTGACTTGCTCAAGACTACACAGGAAGTTACTGGAAGAATCAGGGTTAGAATTTAGGAGTTCCCAACTCTCTGACTCCTCTTCTATTGCGTTTCATAGCAATACGGAAGCTTCTCTTTAAGAAAGCAACCTTTTTAAAAAAGCTCATGTATTTCATATCTCCACTAATTTCTACGCTGCAAGCTGGAAATTGAGACTTACTACGTATCTGGAAAACATCATATCAGATGGCTCCAAAGTTGGAATATAGCCTGAAACTCTCCAGCAGTTAGGAAGCGTGGGAAGAATTATGTACTAGTTAATGTAATGCTCAGAGGAATGGGATTGAAATCCAGCAAGGTTACAGGTCAGCTGGGGTGGACAAATACATTTCTCTCAGGAATCCTGATGGAAACAAAGGATTTGTTCATAGAAAGACAGACAAATCAAGAGCAGATTGAGAATCAGGGCCTGATTTTATTCAATATGAAGTCAAGGAGGTTTTTACTATTTATCAGTTTCAGCACAATTAAGCCAGAGTCATTATGAATGAAACAGAAATTTGACTTTCTTTTTTGCCTATTTCCTGGTCTTATTATGTGGGTGAATGAATAATCAGGAATCTGGTCTTAAGTGTACAGACCAGTAGGTTATTATCAGTAAAGACAACTGCATTTCATGTGTGTTTGCATATTTTTGCTCTCTCTCTTATCCTTGAGCTCAGTTTTCTTTTTGTATAGATTTGTAAATTATAAAAGGAGAGGGGACATTTAACAATACAAGGGTTGTCAGAATCAGCATTTACCAAATGTTACCATGCAACATTGCCCAACTGGAAGGAATTGTAACAAATTACAAGTTTTTAATGGTGCTCCTTAAGCTGTCTGTTATATAGAAAATTTGCAAGAGAGCTAGGAACAGAACTCAAAAGTCCTGACTTCCTGCCTAATCATTTAGGCTATCGGTATTACTCTATGTATGGAGATTACGTTGTACTAGTGTTGTGAATGTTTTTGAAATTATTTCAGCTCAGTAAAAGAAAACTGGAATGTCTGAGAAATCTATACCAGGTCTTAAACCTTCACAGCTGTATTACTTTCCCAGTGTTTTGTGTTCTCTCTTTCAACCTTTTCCTCCATAAGTTCAACTAGAAACTCTTTGGGGTCAATATCTTCTAGGTCAGTACAGTACCATGTACCCCATTGTTATTATTATAACAATCACAACATCTTCCCCATTAGTAGAGCTTAGGCACTCCATTTCCTCAGAGGATGCACAATATATATCCAGGCTGTAATTCAGAATGGAAAGGTTTTACCTGCTCATCAGTCTGGGCTTCTGGTGATATTTCCTTAGGCTTGGTTCACTCAAATCTTATAAAAACATAGCCTTGGTCAGGTTAAAGCATACCAGTATAAAATATTTTCTTGTTCTTTGAAATCTCACTCTGCATTTTTAAATATCGATTTTACCCTTATATTGACAGCACCCTCCTAGCATTGTGCATCTAGATTTTGCAATATGTGGATGTTATAAGCAAAATAGGAAATCTGAGACCCTCGGTCTTTAAATGGACCTGACATCTATTGATTTTATTGGAAGCAGGACTAAATCTGTAGCAACATCCAGACAAAAATTAAACCTAGTCACTATTTTCACGTTATTGCTAATAGATGCAGTCCTAGGACATACAGGTTTTCTATACACAATTAAAAAAAATCAGTCAAAACCAGAAACCAAGTTAGGCTTGTGAAAGGCGATTCTAACAGGTTTGCTCCTCATACTCTCTCATTTGTTGTTCCTACTACAATAGGAAATGCTGCCTTATGATAAGCAATGTCTTACTAATTAGCTACAGGGATTTTAGGTGCATATTTTCTCCCTAAAATAATAAAATACAGATGTGGTAAAGTCATGGTTTCTATCCATCAGTCTATGCATCCCACAGCATTGAATCATAAGTGTGTGTGTGTGTGTGTGTGTGTGTGTGTGCGCGCATGTGGCACAGTAAAATACACATGGTATCCACAGTTAATACATGGGCCAAGTTGGCTGTCACATGCATTTTTGTCAGCTTATTCAGTCCATCTGTACTTGTTTGTCCTTTTGTAATACGATCTGTTTTCTGTCTCATTGAATTGTGCAAGGTGAACAGAAAAAATAAAATTTAACAGTTTAACATCTGTAATCATCAGAGACAAACCCTGCTACAAGAACCCAAACTTCAGTGAAACCAAGCCTGGCTGGCCCTGAAGTGGTTCTACTTCAGAGAAGAAAGCAATGCTAAAACAAGATAGTACATACCTTTTGTATTACTGTGGAGTTTGATAGGTGAGAAGGAAGAGAAAATTAAGAATCAACTCCCTTTAGCACACGGATAGTTATTCTCTTCCAATGGAAGGGAAGGAATCAGAGCTCTTACTCGGACTGTGGAAGTTCAGAAGCTACAAGAGCCTCAGCATGCCTGAATTTCTGCTCTTTAACTTCAGAAGGAGAGCTCCTCCCTGCAGACAGCATGCTAACATTCACAGCCTGTTTCTCTAGGCAAGTACAAAAATGCGGATGTCTCCTAAGAGAACTCATACATAGATTTAAATAGCATGTATTAAGACACTTTTCAGCCAAAAAGCTGCAAATAAACTGCTACTGTCCTTATTTGGCAAGATCCTGTTCAGGATACCACCAACATCCAAAGCAACAAGTTCCCCTATGGACCCTGCTCTCTTTCAGATATGGTAGATAGCCTCAATTGGTACAGGAGCAACGTTGCTTTGAGGTCTCAATGGATAATTTTATAACTGACCACCAATACATTCAGAAGTATTGAAAAACTTGCACATAACTTGCTTGTGAAGTAATAACCATAGTCTTGGCTGAACATGAACACAGATCAAGGTGCTCAGCAACCAAAATATTTAGTGTACCCTTCTCTAGTTATCTTTACTGAAACCTTCTTATCTAGTCACAAGCCACTTACAAGCTCTTACCTCTCTGTAGCAGCTGTCTTCTTAGATGGGTGGGTCCTTCCCCTTAGAAGAAACAGGTACAGCTATAATTCTCAATCCCTGTACTATCCTGGAAGGCAGGGAGAATAGCTCCTTCTTATCCTCTTTATTAACTTCTGAGGAACAGCTGAGGTTAATAGAGATAACATGAAAATCCACCCCTTTCCCAACTGCTTTCCATGATGCAACCCAACAGGTGAAACAAAACCAAATTTTCAGCTATCAGGGACCCAGGGCCTGAAAATATACAAGAGCAAGTTTGTGTGGTCAAGCTACAACTATTCCCTTTACTCTTCTATACCCCTTTTCTCTGTACTCTATTCAAAGTTACTTAAAATCTGAATGGGGGGATTTCTGTCCTCTATGTACTTCTGAACTACCAGAACCAAGACTGGAATAGACAGGAGCTTTTCAAACAATTACCTCATTGAAGCCCTTCCAACTATTTCTTGGCCAATGCTACTTGTAATATTCAGTTAACATTGAATCAGCTAGCTTCAAACCAGCTAGTTCAACACAAAAGTCTTGATATCCCATGACTAAACTCCTGACCATAGGAGAGGGTGCCAGATTGGGTAAGAAGCTTCACTGCTGCTCCAGAAGTATGAGTTTAAGCTTTTCTCGCTACTTGTGAAAAAGGATGCCCCTAATCAACATAGTTGTAAATGGGGACCTGGGCTCCTGGGCTGGAAAGTTAAAGGCAGCTGGATGTGATGCTAGCTATATAACCTTTTTGTGCTGTCGCCTATAAATATCGGTGTTCTTTAAGCATAAGGGCCACAAGGCACAGGAAGAACTTTGCTCTCTTCTGAATATTTCGTAACTACAAGAATAGTAAGACTATGACAGTGGAAACTGTAGAATATTCTTCAGTGAGATATTCAGAAATACAGTAAATAGGCATCTATTTGAAATGGTTTAAGAGCAACATGCTGCATCTGGGCAGAGGATTTGATTAAACTTTCAAGTCCTTTCAAATTACATGACTTTATGAGTTGTTGCTGTGATAGTCCAGAAGAAATGTGAGAAGCAAGAATTCTTGTAGATGATATCTTTTATTGGGTCAACTGTATGGTTGGTATAAACATAGACAAGCTTTCTGGTATCACAGTACTTGAGGCTTGATAATGGGTACTGTGATACCAGGAAGCTTGCCTATGTCTATACCAGCAGTACAGTTGGTCCAATAAAGATATCACTCACCAGAGCGTGCTTCTCACATGATTCTGTGAAGGCATCCACAGATCCTGAAGCATCCACTCCCCCGATTTACATCAAGACTTTTAAATTAGGTTGAAATTTCAAGGCAGGAAATCTGTCTTTCTATGTAGTTTTACAGTATCCAGCACAATGGAGGCTTAGCTCTGGAACTCTTGGTTAATAATTTTGTTCAGTGACATTATAATGAACATTTTGGAACACTTTCCATGTTTTTATCACTTTATTCACGTTGTATTTCAATAGATTGTTTTCAACCACCTAAAAACTGCAGTGTTGTTTCCTACATATGAAAAGCAACCTTGATACATATAGATACCAAAGGAAAGGATATACAGTATTTACAACTGAAAACGCAGTAATAGTTTGCAATATATGTGTTTTATTTTCTGTGTACCATAGCTCAGAAGCTTGGTATTCTACTTATATCATTCTAGTTAAAAAAAAAAATTAAAAAGAGAGAGCGAGGCAGGGTATTCAAACTGTTGGCACTGGCTCTGAAGAATTCTGTTAGAGGAGGGTAATGAAGCCTTTTTTGCTGGCACATACTGCAGACAATAATACATCATGGTTTATAAAAAATGTGCATTTGGGGCAAAAGTCAGGATAAGGTCTCTGTTGACAACCATAATTCTTTTATTAGACGTACTTTACTGAACATTGAACACTGATGTTTATGTAGGCACAGAAACAGAATAACAGCACAAAATCGAAATGATAAAGTGCAGACCTGTACTGAGAAGCAGGCCTGGTAAGACAGTCTACTCTTACAACTCAGCAGAAAATAAAAAGGAACTGAGTTTAAAAGAGAGTAAGTATACTGTAAATTATGTTCTGAGTTAACAGAACTATACAGCATTTCCCACAAGGATAAAAGCATTTAAAAAACAAGTCCATGTGTACAAGCACACAGTAGGTTTTTGTCATGGTGAATGCTGGAACTGAGACTTAGACTCACAGAAGTGGTTTATTAGAGAGGAAGCAAATTTAACAGCTCTGCACAGATTAGAACAGTTATCTTAAAACGATCCCTTTCCTTAATGCTGACTAGTATTTTCATGAAGTGAATTCTAACAGTGACCAAAAAATTCATGTTAACTTCAAAAAGTCATATATATTTAAATTATGGTTTTCAACCTGTCGGCATTTCTTTACTGTGTTTTTGGCTAACCCTACATTTTTCCTTTTTTTTGCTATTTGTTTCTCCAGAAATGCCGAATGATTCTTAACTTGTATGTATATATGGCAATTATATTTCAAACTAAATTTTATACACTTGACAAAACAAAAACAAAAACGGTTTCTATAACCATGATCAAGTGTGTGATGGGAAGGGACAGAAGCAGGGAAGTTGAGTTAAAGTCATGTTTTCAGATTCTGGCCTATGTTAGATCCAATTCCTACATGTGCCATAAATTTCTAAGCAAGGTTCAGATGATAAAACAGTAAGTGGTGCTCTGATAACATCAGTCCTGCTTTTTTTTTTTTTTTTATCTCCTTAAGGCAGTCTTCCAGAGTTATTAGCAAAATAAAATATATATATTTTCAGGGTTGGTACACACACCAAAAAAGCAGAAAACAGGAGAGAAAATAAAACTAATATCAAACTACAACATGATTTTGTAGTAAACAATAGAATATAACGTGCAATAGTGCAATTTCTCCTTTGCTCCAACAATGCAAGTCTTAATATATTGTCCATTGATTTTTTACATCCAGCGTTTCACATTTAATTGCGTGTTTGTCGCGGATTATTATTCTTGCCAGACTTTTGAGCAGAATCACTTTGACCAGGCTCATTTTTGTTTTTTCCAGAATGACGGAGTTTCTGATCCCAGCGCTGAACATTTAAACAAAATTAAAAAAATAAAAATAAAAACAAAGAACAGAAGGAAAAAATATTTAATGAAAGTACAATTGCATTGTGCTTCAAACTTTCCTGAAACATATATTTATATAAAACTAGTTCATAAATTATAATCAAATGCCAGAAAACAACATTTCTAAAAGATCTTGTCCTCCCAAGGAATGATGTCGGAATAATTAAAGAATCTCATGATGGATCCAGAGGCATGAGTCTGAGCTCAATTTCAGATCTGTGCTGAAGTCTGCCACTCCCTCATCAATCCAACTGTAAAGACTGGGAGCTCAGGGGCGGGTGGACATAAATTCTAGCCTTATTACAACCCTTGTAAGCAATTTGCCAGCTTTCAGGTTCACTTGGATAATATGTGGCTATCATAGAAAATGCTTAAGACTTTATAGAGGAAAAGTAAATACACGATTTAACAGGACAGCTCTTAGGGATATATACCAGAAGGATTACCTATCCAATCCATAATTTACAAGGTGTATCAGGACTTTATTTGCATGTTCTAAGTGACACTTTATTTCTTAAATCTTGTTACTTCTCCTGGATTTTTCAGTAGGGATGTGCCATTTTAAGGATTCAAAAGCTAGCTACTTACTGGGCACATCTACACAAGATGGTATGGCACAGTGGTTACTACACATGTATTTAGTACTTGTATAAGCAAATACTAAATAAATGCACATTAACCGGGCTTACTGCACAGTCGGGCCAGTGAATGTCTTTTAAGTGATGCTACTGCACAGCAGCCTAATGATACTGGGCAGTAGCATATTAGCACTGTCTGTGATGTGACGTGCTACTGCGCAGTATTATTAGGATACTGCACAGTCAGCATCTCGTAAAGATGTACCCTTCTGAGGCCATAATTCTGCAAGCTGATTTCCACAAACAATCCCTAATGGGGCTCTGTGTGGATGCACTGGTCTACTCACATGAATCAGTTGACAGGCTCAGAGTCTCAGGGCCCAATCCTATGAGATGTTGATGCCCCTCACCAGGAGTGGAGGGCCCTCAGCATCTCATGAGATCATGCCTTAAAAAATACACAATGTGTTTTTACACAGTTAGAAATATGTGAAAATTACAGAACAAAGACTTTAGGCAGGAATGAAAGGGGAGAGCTTCAGGTAGAATTTTGAAGGAAAAAAAATTAGCTTCACCCTAAGACTCCCTTCTAGCTGCTACAACTTAGAATTGTAGTGATGTTCTAGGACATAAGAACCAGCAAGTGAAAGTTTCTTGTACAAACTGAAAAAAATGCAAAGAAGAGAGATAAATTGCACAATAAAAAGCAAATAAGATTTTAGTAGCCTTGACCCCAAGCCTGCAGATGTTCTGAATTCATTCAAGTAGACTCACTAACGTCAGAGTTATGTGAATGCACCCTGTTGATGCATAAAATTAGGCACATGCCTTACTTGTAGAACCAGAGACCTTAGGCCTTGTTAGAAGCATAAATAATAATTTTTTTTAGCTTAAGGGGTTTGCTATTAATGCTACTTTAAAAAAACCCCAAAAAACAGATTTAATCAAACAACTGTTGGCTGCCCAAGAGACCATATTAACATCATGTGAAAAAACTGGCGAAAACTATGAGATGATGACTCAAGCAGGAAAGTACCTTACAGTTTTTTTAAATAGAACTAAAGTAAAGCCACCTGTGGACATTTTTGGGAAAACAGGATGGAAAAAGGATCAAGTATTTAAAAAAGCAGAGCTGGCCAAAAGAGCCTGTGTTTGTGGTATAATCAAATGGTAATGAAGCTAGCAGGACTGTATCATAACCTTTTGCAGCAGAACAAGCATTAACAGGTAATTGAAGTCACACTAATGGTTTCATCGTGCTTCAGCAAGTCACTACTGGTCTGTTCACTGGAGGCACTGAGTCAGTCCAGTTCCAAATGAGATCAATGGGTGTTGAAAGCAGCTCTGCACATTACAGGGTCAGGCTCTCCTCACATCCAGGATGAGGTGTGATACAATTATACTTTTGCACTGGAGCATATAAGTTTGTAAAGCTCCCAAATGATTCAGAATGGATTGATTCAAAAAGGAAAAAAAAAACCCTCAGAAGAAGTAGACAGGATTCAAATGCAATGCTTTTCACTCTGGTCCCAAATACAAGCAATCACATGTCTGGCTAATGATACACAAACTACTGTGCGGATGGAGCAATGGGAGATATATTTCCAAGCAGCAGCAACCAAGGGCAAAAGCAGAATAAATCTAGCTAATGCAGTTGGATGCTTTTGGGAAGACTACTGTGAAGAATGAGCAGGAATAGTATAAGATTCTCAGCATAGCATTTCCACTCTGTTGATGTTTTACTTTGGCCTGAGGAAACTAAAGAGTGGTTTCTATAATTGCTTGAAACATTATTTCTTTTTTTGTTAGGTTTGTGATTTGTGTTATGTCATTCACAGCAACATTAGTTTTGTGGCACCATTTTCTTCTGAGGTGGGAAAGAGGTGAGATTCTAGAGGTAGAGAAGAAAATGTTTCCTGGTGTTGAAAGAGATGCCTGAAATGATGGTATATTTCCACTTTGAAAAAAAAAATGGTGCGATGGAGAATTTCACATGCCAAGAAAATAATAATAATACTAGTACCAAAAACTTGGAGTTAACATGGTACTGAAGAACAGCAACACACTGTTATTTTTTCTGTGTTCTGGAATTGTGAATGAAACCAGATAAAACTGATTTAAATAAACTGCCCAATTTTGTTAGCCTACACAATATCATAAAAGAAATATGAATGACACATGGACCTAAAATAATTTCCATGTGTGTAGAGAATATTATTTTCCCAATAATTACCATTAAAACTTTTAAAGAAAATTATGGGGAAAGAAGCAGAAAGATGTAGGCAATCTTATTTAAGTCAAATCCACATGTTGATGCAATTGGTTAGAACAAAAATATTTCATGTAAAATGATGTCCCATGTAAAACTGCTAAGGTCATTTGTACTTTGCTGTGTGTCAGACATAAGATAAATCTACCTTGGGAGACAATGATTTTGTGGGTGTACAAGAATTAAAACATATTGAGATGGAGACTGTGTCATGCTTTTGTTTGCTCCAATTCCTATATATTTCTCTTTTTTTCTGTAAACTATGAAATCCCCTTCTTGTATTTTCCATTCACGGTGCAGCAAGAAACCAATCCTACGTAATTTAAAGAATAATACCGTATTTTAAAAAAAATAACATTTCAGACATACAAATTACTATATTATCCTAAGTCTAGCAAGTAATAAGGTAACTGAAGCTACCAGTGTAGGTAAGAACACCGGTCAGCACAGAATATATTGTGAACATAAAGTCAAATTATAAGTCAGTTGCCATTAGCAGATTCAACAACTAAAAGTTTAACCTTAGATTCTCATAAGAACATTCAAATATCTCACATAAATGAGACTAAAATAAATTTGTAAAACTACCTTTTTCCTTTAGCTTAATGTACAGGATTCCCAAAGAATAGGATAAGAGCTGCAGATGCAGAATTTGGCTGCTCCTACTTATTGAAATCAATGGTCCAGATTTCAATCACTGCTATATTGGTGTAAATCTGGAGTAGCTCCATTTATTTAAATTATATCAATCTACATTTATCCCTACAATCAGAATCTAGCTAAATAAACATTTACTCAAATTAATGAGCAAAGGATTGGATCTTGTACATTTATTTTCTCTTTCCTCTCTTAAAATTAAGGGTCAGATATTATTTTGAATGTTATGATCATAGGTAGGGACCTACCTAAATTGCGGTTTCATGGCTTTCACAGAAACCGTGAAAAACAGCCTTGTCCACTGGGAAAAGCAGCATTGGCTGCAATTTCCCATGAAATCAACCTAAAAAAAAGCAGCAGTAGGTGAAGGTGCCCTCTGCCAATCAGTGGCAAGGGGCGGGGCAAAGAAAACAATAATGACAGACTGAGTGATGGCTTCCTCCACCAATCAGTGCCAAGGAGCAGGGCTGCCAGGGCCTCTCTGCCACTCAGTGGCAAGGGGTGCGGTCTCTGCAAAATGTCCATGAAATCAGCTCTGTGCACTGCTAGCGGGCTGTGAAAAACATATTGTCTTGCTGCAACTTAGGTAAGTCCCTAATTATAGGATCATGAAATGTTGTCTTACCTTTACTTTTTTACCAAGACGATCCTTCCATTTTTCTGCTATGGAGCCTTCTACCAAGAGTAACCTACACATTGCAAATACACCAGTTATTTTATTATCAAGGCATGTGTATGCTGTACATATTAACATAGACAAAACTAAAAGCATTTACTTAAGGGGAGAGGTAGAGATCCTTTTCATATTGAACAGTGATAAGTTCATTCCATTAACAGGCATCGATAATTAATCCTGAAAAGAATTCTGCCCAGTTTTCCTTAGCTAGAATAATGGTAGATTCAAAATGAGGCTTCATGGGTTGGGGAATAGACTAGAGAAAATACTTCTTTTAAATCACTGAGAAAAAACTTACCTGGAGCGTTCCTCATCTTCATAGCCCATTATGATATATTCTTCATTAGTGTTGAGTGGTGGGCACAGACAACCAGAGTTTGTGTAAAGGTTAACTGTGTCTCTAGGAATGTTTACCAGGGATGATTTTAGAATCTCCTTTACTTCTACAACTGCAGTGACATCATGACATTTAGTCTTCACCTCCTTCACTTTAGCCCGAATGACTGGGAAAATATAACAAAGAGTGTAGTTAACAAAAGCAAATAATGCAGGTCACCCCCATTCCTGACCTTCTGGACTATTCTTTTGTGTGTTCCTTTATCAAAAGCTTATGTGAACTCTAGCAAGATTTTGCCCAGTCTCCCAGCCCCACTTCTTTTCTTCATTACTTCCTTCTCTACTATGAGTACATTACACATTTCAGGTGGTCCAGGATATCTATGAGTAACGTACATGTGCTTGCAGGGAATGATTTGGCAGTGGGACATTTATCTTGTGCTCTGCAGAGTTTATTTTTAGCATCCATCTTGTATTCAACTCTGCATCTTCAATTCCAAGTTTATAAATTATATAATTGCCTCCTTTACAGCCATCTTATACTATAGCTGCTTCCTTCTTGTTCTGTTTCAGCATGGATTGCCCTATAAGCTTGCCCTTAATTTGTCATCCTCAGCTTTTCACAAAATTGAGAGTATGCTTGAAAACTTTATTGTATCATTATCCCTATTGGGTGAAAGGACCTTCCCTTTTCTCTTCTCCCTCCAGTGACCCATCACCAATCTCCTTTTTTCCTATGAACTCCAATTGCTCCTGATCTTGACCTGATGACCTAATTGTTTCTTCTCTGATCCCTTCATTCTCCCATCAGTTGCATAGTAGGAAAAGTTGCCTTTCAAGGGGAAAAGTTTTTTCAGATCTGTCATGGAGACCAATGAACTAACACCATATGCAAATACAGAGTAAATCCAGAGGTCATACTCAAGGGAGTACTATATCTTGCACAGCACAAGTCACAGAATCCCTCTCCATTTTAGATCCAAAATTCCTCAGATTCTTAATTTCTTACAACCTGTGCAAAAAGGTAAAATGGAAGAAATAATAAGAGAGAGAAAACCCATTGACCAAGAAAACCCCACTTTTCATATACTCAAGTGTTCCACATTATATTGCATTCACCACCCAAATTTTACCCAACCTCATATACTTTATTAAAACTACCTAAGACTTAAACACAAAACCCATTTTGCTTCAGCCCTCCTTTAACTGCATTTCCAAAGTTCTTTAAATTCAAAAGAAAGAAAAGAAGGAAATAGTGTAACACAATATAAAAATGATCCTTGTTCTTTCCAAAACACCCCCACACAATCAGCAGTTGCTAGCTCAGTAAATCTCTACCACATGCAGGTGCATTATCCATTGGAGAATACTCATACCACAAAACTGACCAAACAAATCAACAAATAAAACAACTGGCTGCTTCAGAATACTGCAGTTATGTTCCGTTTCACTAAAAGCAATAGTACACTGGTGTCTTTTAACAGAATTTCATTTACTGATAATGTATCTCACACCACTTCATCTGATACCAATTTGGTATTATACTCACATGCAGTTATAAACTTAATGAAAGCTCAATAAAAGCTACTTTCAAACCAAGATCCTGGTCATGCAAAATCATCTTCTTAAGTTCCTTGAACAACAGTAGCAACTCAGACAAGCAAGGTCCTCACATGTTAACATCTCAAGGGCCCAATTGTGCAATTTCTACTCTTATAAATATTTTACTTATGCAAATAGTATTCATTAGGTCAGTCTGTTTAAGGGAGACTTGTATGAATAAAAGCTACAGACTGGACCCAGGAGACATTTGAAGAATAGGGCAATCTGGACAACTGAAAACATAATATAGATACCATCAGGTTGTGCAGATGTTACTGACAACATAACTTGGCCAGCAAGATGCTCATTACTGGCAATGATGCATGAGAAACAAGGAATCCATCTTGAATGTCAGATCCCAAAGTGAGTTTGCAGGGATAGTGGTTAGTAAAAACATCCTTTTTGTACAAAAAGACAATTTGAACTGAAAATCAAAGAGGGTTTCAAACATAGAAAGCCAATATGTCATTTCTGTTAAGCAACTTTTCAGACTAGAACTATTTTTAAGTGCATAAATTCTTACTTCTCCTGTGGATCCAACAAAGTGGCACTCCATGTAGCTGGCATCAAGAGTGAAAAACAGTAGCACTGTGCAACAAGCATCTTGTGCTTGTATGTTAACACTGAAATATTACATCAAAATCATTCATAGAGCATTTTAATCTGAAAAACTAAACTTTACTGAATTCCTAAAATTAAAATATTATTATTAAAAGATTACACCATCCATTCATCATCCTCTTGTAAGTGCAACAAGTTTTGACTTTAGAAAAAAAACTCTATCTTTGCATCTTACTTTTGTAATCAGTACTAATAACTTAACTCAATACAGTAAGTCTGACTAGTGATCAGGGTCATAGCCTATTTCTGTTAAACGTTTTCCTGTCCCATTTAATATGTTTCTTGTTTCCTGAAAAGCTTTTATTTCCTCTTTAAATTTTTGATATCTGGCCATGCAGCTGTCCTTACCATAATTATAATTGTTCCGAAGATAGGTCTTCTGGGTAGCTTTTATAGGTTTGCATTTGCAGCGCTCTGCAAAACAGAACAAATTTGTTGAGAAAGAACAAGGCATAGGCTCAGTGATAAACTTTCCAACCCTGCCAAATAATTAAAAAAAAAATAAAAACACATAATAATTACTTTAGTTTTTCTATGCATAAAAATTCAGAAAAACTGATAGATTAGCAGTTTTAGGACAATTAGAAAAACAGCAGAATTATGCAAAAAACAATTTTTTTGTCCTACTGGCAATTCAGGTATTTCCACATTTGCTTTTTTTTTCAGTTCTGAAGGAAAAGTTGAAATACATGATTTTTTTAAAAGCACAATATTCAAAACATTTCATTTGGAAATGCCCAAGTATTATGTTTTCTATCAGTTCAACATTAAATTATGTTTCTCTCTTGTGTCATGTTGTACCATTGGAGCTGCAGGTTAGGAGCCTGGCATCCCCCTTCTGCCACGTGGGCTGAATTATGTGTCCCATTTTGCACCTACAATTATGCAATTCCCATGATTCCCCCAACAGATTGTTCAGAGAAAAGAAATTATTAGGACAGTACCAATAAGAGAATTTTGGGGCCGATACCAATGGCTGATTTTTAATGAGCCATATCCGCTGATACCAATCCGATTCCAATATGCAGTTGGGCAGCACAAAGAGCGGCATCCAGCTAGTACTCTGTTGCGGGGGAAGGGGTGAGGGAAGGGGTGTGGTGGGAGAGGGCAGATTGAGGGAGGGAGTGGGGCTGGGGCTGGGGCTGGGGAGGGGCAGGCACTGCACAGCCAGGGCATGGCACGGAA